AATTGAGTGGGTTATGATAAAAAAATCACCCTGTATATTGATATCCGATATCATAAACTACTCATTCACATGTGTGTATTTTATATTTAGACATGTAAAATCAGAACGTTCAAATCTCAAAAAAAATGTTTAAAGGTTATGCCATTTTTATTCTATACGTATGTTTTTAAGTCGTACTCTTCCTTTGACTTAGGTATAAATATACTAGTCCAAAAAATATTATCTATCAGTAATTTTCTTAATTAGATCATTTTTTATTTCATTAGCTAGATAAATATATACGAAACCATTTAAAAAAATAAAGTTAACATCCTTATAAGACATAAAGGATGTATTAAAAAAATCTTAATTATTAATAAATCTAAAAATATAATAATTAAATAATAGCAAAAAGATTTTTCTTAATATAATACATATTATTATTTTAAGATGATCGAGTAGGTAAAATCAAAGGAATTACTCTGTATACAACAAAATTATAACTTTTTAATAATTTTTTTGTAAAAATTACAATTCTAAATTATTCAATGACAATTTCATACTAAATTTGTGATTACTACAATAAGTTTATTCATGTATTATACTTATAAATCATAAAACTTGTAATCAGGATATAAATATGGAAATAAGAGCTCGTGTTGCTTTTTAAATAATACAATAATTTCTTCAAAATCTTAAACACTATTTAGAGATTTGTATAGAAGCATTTTTCATAATAGTGATTTTAATCACCGTCAGATATCATCTATACTTGTTTCAACTATGCAACGTTCCCAGTGTGTTACTGTTTTTTTATGATTTATTGTATTAATTACAATACTGAATTATTAATTTAACCGTGAGCGATTTAAAATGTCGACTATTATCGAGTAAAACGCTGCTGATACTAGCGTTTTACGACTTGAGGTTTGAAATTTTTACCAGACCCGTTTAAAGGCATTTCTTAGATATCATAGAATAATTAATTTAATCCATTCATTTTTTACTGTTCTACAAGTTTTTTTTATAATACAAAATTTGTTGATATATTTTATCAAATTTATTGATATATATAAATACGATAAATCGTATATTTTAATTTGTTTGAACTTATGCTTTATAATCATCTTACTGTTCAATTAAATTTATTCGCTTTTTTTAAACTTTTTTTTATATTTACGAAGAGTTTATATTAGGAAACAGTTTAGCATTTGCGCATAGCATTATATTTTACATATATTATCAATGAATGTTTAACAGTTGTATATAAATTTCATCAAGTTTACAAGTATATAAGTTTTTACATACATTATTAGGACTGTACAATCTAATAATAATCTTATTAAACTCTTATATGATGTATAAGTCTATGAATTGATCATAAAAAATTGGGACCCATCTATGACAACTATAATGTAAAGTCAAATTACAGTAATCAATACTCTTGCTTATTTTACATAGTCTTAAGAAATAACAGTCTGCCGAAGTTTTCTATAATATTAACAAAATTATTATAATTAAAACTTGATTAATTATTGTGTATATCAGGGGCGTATTTAAGGGGGGCTTGACTCTTATCAATATTTTTTAGGTAAATATCTCAGACTAAAGACTTTCTTTTTGATCATCAATTAGATTTTTAGTAAAGAAATTTCTGTACTATATTTACCAAAATAAAAACCTTTTTAAAATGATTTCTGAATACATCCCTGGTGAATACCTCAGTAAACAAACGTCAATCTTATAACCAAATACATTTTACTATTTTCTCTATCTTAATAATGAAATATTTAATATATTATTATTACACTGAGATTCCGATTTAATATTTTTTCTACAAAAAACTTATTCATACTTCTACCGAGATCAGATAAAAAGGACAAAAAGGCTTACATGCCGAAGACATGTGTGTCTTATAGGGCCCCAGGTTTGGGACGGACCCCCAATTAAGCCAAGCCTAGTATTTAAACAAACAAATAAAATCAAATTCAATTATTAAGATAAAAATACGTTATTTTTTTAAATTTTTGTACTTAAGATACGGCTTTTTGATAATATAACTTTTTAATCAAACATTAAATTCAATAATTTTTTTTTATAAATAGCGTAGTATGTAAGATAAACAAAAATCGAAAAACCAAATTGGCAATCTGAAGTAAAATAAAAATAAAATTTTTTAACGATCATTCCAATACGTATATATAATGTTTTATGTACAGTTATATATCTGAAAACTACTTTTACTTGAGTTATCCTGCAATCAATTAGCTTAAAGAATAATTACACAGCAATTAATATTTTTGTTTCTTTTTTTTTAGAATTGAAGAGTCGACGTCTAGATCACAATTTTTGGCATATTTTAGTTTTACATCTTTAACGAACAGTTATGGTCTATCTTTTAGACCAAAAGGTGGCAGAAGAATAGATCACACTAGTAAGTCAAATCAATCAATTTTATAATATAATAATTATTGATATCGTTAATTTATAAGTTTTTGATCAATGTCTTAGTTATTTAGTCCAAAATATGATTGGAGAAATTAATAGGTGAAACGTTTTCCTATCAATAATATGCTTTTTAATTATGTTCATTTATATATAAATATATATATATATATATATTTTTTTAATACTTTTTATTTTCTATTAAAATTGAGTAAAGTTTCTTTTAAATTTATGCGAGTCAATTGTTAATAAGCCCTTATTCTGTGTAAAATATTTATATGGTATTGTACGTGAGCATTTTCCTGAAAAAATTGTACTAAATTTTGGTTATGGAATTTATAGACAGTAAAAATAATTCTGTTTATCTTTTAAAATATATAATATAAGTATATTAAAATTTAATATTTAATGTAATTATCACATAGTAACCAATAAAAACAGTGATTAATGTAATACATAAATACAGACCAATGAGTTATTTGTTTTTAAAATACATAAATGAAATGTACAATATCAAAAACATCAAATTATTTCAGCTATTAGAAGCTAATAACCAAATATTTCATTTTAGAATAAGATAAATTATTTTCCTTATTTATCCATACTATTTTATAAATTTTAAAGTCAAGACTGCCTACTAATTAGCTCACAATAGCATAACTAAAGTTAGTTCTGGGAAAAGGGATATGAATAAAAAAAATGTTCACTACCACTCCAAACGAAAAAAATTGTATCTTCACCATTAAAATAAATTTTCTAAAGGGATCTATTCCATCATCACACCTTATTACGCCCTTGCTAGATCAGTCAGTAATGCGTTGTGCCTTGATACTGAGGTTTGTTTCCAATGTGCTGAGCTATTCAAGTTTTCTCATTCTACCTAATACAAACAATAACTTATAAGAGAGGATTTTTAACATAAATAAACAAGTATAAACCGACTTGAAAAATTTGTATACAAATTATAAACCATTATAACAATAATTAAAATACAAATTGTGTTTTCAGCATGTGATTGGTTATATCAAGATTTTTCTTGTAAGAAAGATTCATGTGTACTTGCTAGTCCAGGATTTCCGGGTATCTATGGATCTAAAATTTATTGCAAATATCATATAACAACAAGTTCAGTCCATACTAAAGTTCGACTTCAATTTTTAACATTATCATTACCACTTAAGTAAGTTTTTGATATTACTTTTAATATATTCTTATATTTATTATATTTAAATATAATTATATAATATTTATAAAGATTACAACAATTACAATAATTAAACGATATATTCACGATATTACAATATTTAGTATAACAATAAATCGTATGAAAATGTATTATTAATACAGCAAAAGTATAATAACATCATTTTAGTAAACAAGAATACTGCATTGTATTTACCAGCTGTTGTTTATTCAAGTCACTTTTGTAAAATCGACAAATACATACTTACTAGAGGTTTCACATTTATTTTCTCTCTTTACTCATTTAGAGTCATATATACTCTAAAATACTGGACCTTAGGGCTTAGACTCAGTTTTGAGTGTTAAGAAAAGTCCATTTTAAGCAACTCTCATACGTGGTAAGCAATGATTGATAAAATAAAATATAAAGAAAAGCCAAGAAATAAACGTGACGCAAATAACAATAATTTTAACCGAGGAGAAAATGTTCAAGAATCGTAGTCAACATTAGAAGTTTTTCTTACATAAATATGGGCATTAATTACCAAACTTTTAAATTTTTTAATTCCTTTGTTAATTTTTATTTAATTAAACCTAATCAATATTTGGAAACCTATTTGTATATTGTTATGTTTGTAATATTGCCCTCAAATTATAAACAAAATGTTAAAATATCATAAATAATGTTATGTAGGTCATAACACATATACAATAATAGTACATAACACCAAAAAAATAAATGTATATTTATCCGAAATTTCCAAAACTGGCGATGAAATTTAGACAGCTCATAAGCATTGGAAAAAAGAGAATAAATAATTCAAACCATTATTCCAAACATTGACAGACATAATGTACATACTAACACAACTCTTTCAGATTATAAGATTTTGAATAAATTTTTAATTTCCCATTATGCAAAATATAGTTCTCATTATATAAAAAAACTGTTATTTAAATATTTTTGTAATCTTTAAATAAATCTTATGTTAACACCATTTCTGAAATGAATTTAAATATGTTTTACTTTTATTCTTTATAGGTGCATTCTGAAAATTCCATGTAATATAAGACTATTTCTCTAGAGTATCATAATTAAATTTTTTTTTTATTATATTTTAATCAATATAATATTTAATAAAATGAATTTGTGAATAAATACAATAAAATTAATTTTAAATTTATGTTATAATATTATAAAAAGTAAAAAGCATACATATAAAAATCATTATAGATGCAAACGAAAATTTATACATTTATCATATCAAACATTATTACATAATGAAATAACAACTTCATCATTAAGAAGTTGTGATAAAAACATTTAAATTCACATTATTTAAAATAATTACACAGGATTGGATACATAATTACTATTTATTAAATAATCTACAATATTTCTACTAGACACAGTTTTTGAAAACAAATATTTAATAGTTAATATTTTAACAAAAGACAATTTTATATCTTGACCTATCCATAAACATTTAACTGTGAGTTTATTGGTAAACAGTTTTAATAAAATTCTACAAGTATGTGTCTTCGTATCAATACTATAGACTGAAGAAACATATTTTTATTTAAATAGATCATAATTTATTAATCAAATACCTGTTCTAAGATAGGTGCTCTATATGTTGATGTTATAGACCATGGTATAGATATGTCCATGTAAGCCAATTTTTGAGATTTAAGTAATATACTATTAGTAATAATAAGAGCAATAGTAAAACCAGTGTCTATAGAATAAGAAAATATAATTACTACTATAAAACTCATTAAGAATTCATGCAAAATAACCCTTCTTAAATAATAGTGAATAATTTAATTTTAAACAAAAATACTATAATATTTTTTGGATGATATTTGGTCATTCTATAAATATTAGGCGATGGATACATATATACTTAAATGCTATAGTATGAACAATTGTGGATTTATATTGTTTTTGTCTACTGTAAAAGTAACTAGAAATTTTTAAAAATAAGCATATAATTATTAAATAATTAAAAAATATATTTAAGTGGGTATTAAATTTATCTTGTATTTCAAAAATAAGACATAAGTAATGATACTGAATATTAAATTAACTATAATTTATAATTATATCAACATTTTACATTAAATCCAATGTTGAACTCTCCGCTAATTTAAATAAATATTCAATGATATTAAATTACTAAATTTTTTAAAATTTAGTAATTTAGTAATATTTACGGTAACCAATTAAAAGTATCCATACAATATTATACACTACCGAGGATTAAAGTAACTACCTTGAACTACCTAAATATATTTAATTGTCTAAAAATTTAATTCAATATAATTACTGGTTCTGTCAACCATAATGAGATTGCGTCAGGTCAACAGCCGGTGTAAAAATCTTATCAATTCAACAAGTTAAAGCCGGTTCCTTATAGTTGTGAAGAGACTAAAGAGATGATGAATATTTTTGTTTATAACTTTCAATGCTAATCTTCTATTTGACCAAATCTATCGATCAATATAATATAAGATCTCAGCATTTATTCATTTGACGATAATTTCCTAATCACTTAATCGATCGATTCTGATGTGGACCTCAACTTTCATGTTTAACATTACTTTTAAATACTTGGATCAAAACAAAATTTTTACTGCCAATATTACAAACTAATACTTTTGATTTTATATGAAAATAGCCTTTTAATAATTTTATTGGTTTTTATTTTTTTTAATTTGTCTATTATTTAGTTAATATAACGTGGTGTATCAAATATATATATTTTATTTACAGCAATTGTGGCAGTCATTACATAAATGTTTACCAAGGACCTACCTCTAATAGCCCCTTATTGACCACTGTCTGTGACAAAAGCAAAAAGGAATACACATTTCCTGGACCAAACGTACTGCTAGAATTTAGGTATTGTATACTATAAACACCACTGACTGATTCATCTGAATTATGCAAAAATTCTATATGTAGAGCTGGAGAGGCTATTCCACCTTATGACTATAGTGGTTTTGTATCCACTATTGAGTTTATCGATGATGAATCAAAATCTTCTACTAGTACGATTACACCAGTTGTGTCACTTTTTCCTATAGTTTCTGTTTCGAGTAAGTTATTTATTTTCTTCCATTATATGATTTATATTTTCTCAATATTAAGTTTAATTTTAGACGAATTCAAGTATAACGATTCATGTGAAGTAACAATTAAATCAACTGATACCAAATCTGGTCATTTTGATTTACGGGGATTACAAAATTGGAAAACAATTTGTACTGTTAGATTTGTAGGAAAGACGCCAGAAATAGTTCAAGTATCATTATTCAATTATATTTTGAAGTGAGTCGAAATAATGAAAATTGCATGATTTGTTTTACAAAAATTACTACTTTTATCACTTTATTGTTTAATTTCAGGAATCCATCATGTCAATCTTATATAGAAGTATACGATGGTTCTGACACAAAATCTAAACATAAAATAAAAAAACTATGTGGTCCTATTGAAAAACATGCTAGAGATACAAATGGGCGGTAATGTAACAAAATTAGGATTCTAAATTTAATTAAATACAAAGTAGCGAATTATTTATACAACTATTATAGAGCAATTATACAATTGAATATTCAATTTAAATAATTAATATATTTGATACCCGTTTGCGAATTCACTTTATCTAAAAGTATTTCTAAGCCTTAAGTCTCATAATAAATCCATTTTGTTATTATGTGTATAAGTTGCAGTTTTACTTTTATTTAACATTTTCTGAAACATAAAATGGTGCATTACAGTTATTTTTATCAAATATTGGGGTAGTTATACAATATATTTTCTTAAAATTTTTATGATAGAATTTTTTCATTAAATATTGCCATATTTATAACGGTATGTGGTGTAATTACAACTACAAGACCACTGTTCTCAAGCAAATCTTTAGATAGGAACTATTTTGACTGGAATATTTTGAAGATATATGGGTTGGTTGCATGGATAATAATAATAAAAAACGAAATCCAAAATTTTTAATAGAAATGTAGGATTCTATTCAAAATTATTTACCGAAAACGAATAATTCCGTAAAAGGGTGGCACTTTCCTTTAACTTAATTTTAAACGCTAATTTTTTAAATACTTTAAAATAAAAGAAAAGTTAAACAGACTGAAAATTGAACAATTTGTAGCAAGATTAAAAAGGAAGTACCATGATAGCGACACTAGAATTAAGAATATTTGTACCAAGTTTTATGGTATACCCATTAAGGATTTTTGAAACGAATTTCACATAATTTATGCACAGTAGTTTTATTGTTAATTTTTATTTATATTTACTTTTGCATTTAACCATTGACAACATTGATTTTTTATTTTAAAATTGCGACTATTTATTTTATAGTTGACAGTTTTGTTTTATTTATATTATTGAAAATATATTTGTTTCCTAAAATCATTAGACTTGTTTTTATTTAATTGAGTACCATAGTATTTCTATAACATACATTAATAGATATAACCTACTTCTAATTATTGAGACTCTAGCACGCAAATGTCGAAAATCCCTTTAGATATCTATTAAATCAGTACAAATTAATACTCTAAATGACTTTTTTTTAATTTCTCAAAACTAACCTAATTTTACAACAATGTTTTATTTAGTATGACTGCTTAGACATTTCTTGTAAATAAAAACTATGCAAAAATATAATATTTATTTATAACTCCTGTATTTACTTCTAGATTTCTTGAAAGACAAATGTTTATTTCAAAAAAATCAGAAATGACTCTAATAGTTCGAAGATCAATGGTAACGACACAAAATGAAGAAAACGAATTTTTGGACGGAGCTTACAGTTTCTTTAATGGTTTGCAACAATTTTTTAATACAAAGTATACTTTTTATTATATTTTATTTTTATGCTAGAATTAGAAAGAGGTACACTGCAACCAGAGACACTATGTAATGTTAACTATCATGGTCTAAGTAGCTCTTCAATAGGAAAATTAAAACATCCTGGTACTGAACAAATATTTTGGAACGTTGAAGGACAAATGAAATGTTCCCAGAACTTATTGCCATCCGCCAACCAAAGTGTTAACATTAAAGTAATCAAGCGTATCATACATATATACATATAATTTGTAACAATTGATCTATTTCCTTACTTACTTAACACTTTATATATATAAATATAAATATATCGCAATCCCATTAATTCTCCAATTAAAATTTTCAGATTATATCTTTAAATAAATTATCATCTAATCTATGCTACACAGAATGTGGAGATGGAGGTTGTCGTTGCGTAAAGAATTTAACTACAGTTGTTGATCAGCTATTAATAACATCTACTAATGGTGACATTTTATCATGTATTTGTGGAGATTTTCAAGTATTATTAACCAAAATTAATCGCAAATCTAACTAATTTTCGATAGGTGTTATTTTTAATTTTTAATTATAGGCCGAGTGGTTACCCGTTACAATTAAATCATGGTCACCAATAAACTTGATTTATTCAGTATCGAAATACAGTTGGTCAAGCAAGGGATTTGAATATTCAGCGGAGTACTCGTTTAAGGATGATACTGTATGTGGGTATCGAGAAATTAATCAGCATACCGGAATTATCGAATCCCCAATTATGATTAAAGAAAGCCCTCTCAATTTTTATTATCACCAAGATTGCACATGGCTTTTGAACTCTAATGTTGAACGTCATTTAACTATTGAAATAGGAAGTACTCAAAGCCGTAAGTATCTTAAGATTTTTAAAAAAAAAATGTTTACCTTAATCAAATTTTATTTATTCCATTATATTATATAAGGCTAGTTATTTGACTTTCGATTAAAACTTTATGTTCTTTAAATGCATTCATTACCACTAGTATAATTTATACTGTTAAGTGGAGTGATAGATAATTTTTGTTAATTTTTTTCTAAATGTCCAGCTTGCTGCAATTTAAGTATTTGTAATAAAAATCTAAAAAATGACGTCGTTACCTTAAGTTCTATTTTTCCAACCTACTAGATTTTAAAATATTTATTTCTAAAATTATTCTATTTATTGTATATTAGAAACATCTATCAAAGTCCTAAACATTTTTAAATGTCTTTGACAACCTATTGTATTTTGTTTTTTAACATATTTTAACTATTGATATAAACAAAGTCAATAATCTTTTCAGAGATAAAACGCTTAACTTTATTTTTTTAGTTTTAACGCCTATTTTTAGTTTGATTATATAACATAAAATAATTTTCAAACAATTTTGTTATTATAACATTTTTTTTACAATCAATCAATTACGTTTTAAGATTGTTTAAATATGTGAATTTCAAATAAAAATTTATCATTGATTTTACTTATTTTTTATAATAACAGAAGCAACAATAATCTGTTTACCTATTCTTGTTATTGTAAGTGACAGATATGATAACAAGAAGAGTGAATAAAACTTGTTTGTGTGACAGCATGAAGAAATAATGACTATTGTAATAAGCTAAATATCAAATTATCAGTAGTGAGATAGTCAAAAATTGCTATAATTTGGCAAGCAATTGGAGAAAAACGAATTATCAAATTAAAAATATTATAAAAACAAAATTTTTTGAAATTTGGAATTGTCATATCATTAAACTAAAAATAGAATCTGAATTCTAGATCACAGAAAGACCTTTGAATTCTTTACTTAAACAATTAAATTAATTAACTAGATATAAATGACGGGTCGGGTGTTTTACTTGACACTCAAATAATAAACTAAAGACAATTTATTAGATTTTAACTAAGAACATGATTTAATTACGCATATATAAATCAAACAATTACATATAGTAAGAACATTAACATAAAGAAAAGAATAACATTACCCAGCCATCTGACATTTGCTCCGCCTCGTGATTTTGCAATCCTCTGAATGCTCCACAACAAATTCTTCTCGGCCAACGTTAACAATCACATGTGTCACGATTATTTTTAAGGTGACAATAGGTATTAACTGACCGAAAAACAGAGAAACGCCATCGGTGTTTGAATTTATTAGAATATCACCCCCAAATGTGAAGTAAGTATTCATGAAAATATAAGTTTGGTTTTTCGCCTATACAGACCGACACAAAACCAACAAAAACTATGCAACATCACTGGCCACAAGTCATTGGACTTAATGGTACGACACAACTCCAAATACGTGCACGTACGTACTGACATAGGTGACCATAGTGTGGGACACGACTACTATGACTGTCGTAGGTCAAGTGGCGAGAAGGGGGTGGATGATAATAAGCTACGTGGAGCTGAACGGGCTACACGCGTAACTTTTGAACAATTATTGTAAAACAATATTTGTCTTTATAAATATTGAATATTTTCAACTATTTCTTTCGGTATAAAAGATTTTTTAACGTGGCAACATAAATACTTTTGAAAATATTCCAGATATTCTGGTACTTTCAAATATACATTAATTCAATGTTTATATTAATTGCATACTTTAAGTTAAAAATATTCATTATTAAAGTTTACGGTATTTTACAAACAAAATGTTTTAATCTTAAACAAGAAAAACTAAAAATTAACTTAAAATTAAGTAGTGAATCTTATCACAGGCCCGTGTTCAGCATGGAATATAAGTGTACATGAATATTCAGAAAAAACTGATGATCGAGCTGGTCTAGAGTTGTACACATTTTGTTCAAGAGAAAAGAATTCTACTAATACCCTGCCTTGGCAAACTAACATTGTTGTTATAAAGTATGTATTTATTATAATTAATCTATGCAATTATGTTCACAAACCACATTTTTCTACATAAAAACTATTATTTTTGGATTTTATTTTTACTAATGTGAGTTTAGTTACACCAAATCCTGAAAAAAAAATTTTTTTCAGCATTTTTTTTCAACTTTGCTAGTCCATGTTATAAAATCAATAGACGGTCTACATAGCTCAGTTGAGAATGTGTCTTGCCTCAGTGCGTAGGCACAGTTTGGTTTCCATTTAGTTAAATTGGGCTATATACATTTTACCATTTCTCTAAAATAAGCAATAGCTTTTAAGGACGTTAAATATAAATAGTGTCAGCTTGTATTTATATAAACTGTCAAAAACTGGGGAACTTACGGTCGCTAAGCCCCTTCTTTTAATGTCAAACCCAGTATTGATTTCTGATTGAATAATATATTATCCTTTATTGTCCACTAGGATAAATAAGTTTCTACTCTTAAATTAATATGACATAATAATTAATATGTCACTCAAGTGTCTGTCCCCTTAAAAACAGTTCTAAGCAATATAATATACAACATAGTAAAATAATTGAGCCAAAATTTATAATAATAAAAACTTTTTATCATGAATTTTAGATTAAAAGCCATGACTCAAACACCACCTCAATACTTTATCAAATGGAGATCAGAAATTGATAAAATTCGTTTATCTGGATCGACAGCACATACGGCAGCATCTAATGGAACTCACAAAATTAATTCAATTTTACTAAACATTTTTTTTTGTATTTTCGCTCTATTGATTAAAAGTTATTAAACAACTGAGATTTAAATTTAATTAGATTAAGTATGTAAATAAATGTTTTCAATTTTATGTTATGTAGATAAGTAACTCTAGACAATAGTATATCCAAAGTTAAGTAGATTATTTTTCAAAAGTTACTCGATGATTGTGTAACGAAATTTCTTTTTAAATTACTATTAAAAAATTATAGAGACATTAGATTCACGCAAAGGAGTATCCATGATTTAAGACAGGACCAGTCATAATTATTATAATATAAATCTATTGTACCTGTCTATGCATTTTAATAACTTTTTGTTTTTTAAATTACTCTAGAAGTAATTTCCTTGCAGTGACAAGTAACTTGTGTTATGTATTACTCAACACAACAGTATATCACATAAATAAATAATATTGCACTAGTTACTTATAAAAAATAAAATTTTTATTAATCGCTCTATTTTTAGATTTAAAAATATATTTAATAGAATTAATAAAAACAAGGGTGAATACTCAATATATTTAATTTTAAGAATATGACTGAAAAAATTAATTTTATAGTCAAATAATTATTTAACTTTAACGTGTCTTTGGTTTTCGTTTTTCGTATATTTTCTTTTGTGTATTTATCGATACATTAAAGGAAAAAGTAAATATTTAGTAAATTATAAATAAATAAAAAATTGTCAGAAAAAGTATATGTTAGTATATAAAAAATAAGTTGTTTTTTACCTTTTCAAAATTATTATAAAAATCTGTTGAAATATATAAAAAATATCTTATTAATTTAAAACTTGTTTGTTTTGTATTCAATAAATACATGTTTTTTTACAAATTATTAAAGACTAGTAACTACTAAGAATCGGATTACTTGTCTAATGATTGTCAAAAGATTTTGCCATGATAGAGGATGAGAATAATGTGTAATAAACAACCACTTAGGAGCTATATCGCGCACTCTAGAGCTTTCAATTTATTTCAAATAGAAATACAAAATAACGATTAACTCGTTTTTAACAAGCTGATTTTTATGTTTATAACATATATTTTTAAACCTCGACAGCTTAATATAATTTCCGAGATTTTTGTAAATCTGTTTATACATATAATCTAATGATTACGTAATAAATAAAAAATCACTAAATAATCTGCGAAAAATATTACGTCAAAGTTCAAGTCTTTGTATTTGACACATCAGCGTCGTCTAAGAATGGTTAATTAAATGGCTTCTGTATATTATTGAAGCAAAAAATATAAAGAAGCATACTTTTTTTTAGTATGCAGGCATCATATTTTTGAAATAATACTTGATCCCGATATTGTTGAAACAAAATTTGCTCTGTCGTCTTGTCTAGATATACCAATGTTTAAGAGATGTGTTAAATACTGGGAAAAAATAAATAAAACTGAATATTCCATTTTGTCTGATGATCCAATGGTTTTACATATATTAAAAAATAATAGAGAAAAATAACTTAAATAATTCTTAAATTATTACTTTTAGATGTTACTAAAAAACTACGAAAATTATTAAAAACTTTGCTAGTCCATTTGAAATGCCCGTATAATATAAAATGGGCCATATAATTATTTTTTGTTTCTCCACGCTAATGAGTATACTAGTTGCCTCCTTTCCTTTTATGTTTGAATTAATTTTAAAATTACATTTTCATTATGCCTATTAAATCTAGCTATTTCTCTTATAACATCCAGTTTTTTATCTAAAACAATTTTAGTCATAGGAATATTAACTAATGTATAAACCATACTATTAAAAGTTGCTATTTTGTGTTACCAGCTGTGGTTCGAATTGTTCTCAGTGTATCTTAATATGGATGTGTTTTTCCGATAAATTTCAAAATAAGGGTACTACATTAAAAGAAATTAACCTCTCCTACCTATTATTTTAAATAGTATAACCAGATAATTTTTGAACTAAGTCAGTATTATTTTTAATTAAAATGCTATTGAATTTTTGCATTGATAAAAATAATCTTGTGTTTAGCAAAATTGTGAGTTGAGGCATTAATTTAACACAATAGTCTCATATTATTTCCTGGCTTATGAATTTTTAACAAAGCGTATAGTTTAGGTTTCTGAGGGTCTGAAATTTTAATAAAAAATATGAACTTTTCTTCAATTATTAATTATTAGGTAACTATTATTACATATAAAATACTAAAAAAGTTTTTAAAATTATGATAACAATATTTTTTAATTATCATTAAAATTTGGAAATGGTCAACATAGTTTAAGCTTAGCGATTTAGACATACTGAATTACTTACTTCAGAATGGCCAACTAATTTAATCACCAACCTATATTTGTTGTGTAAATTTTTATCTGTATCTATTTTGTAACCTTACGACCATAAACATATTGTATAGTTCTTAACCTCTTTGATTTTCAGGTAATGATATCATAAATGATGGGTGATAAAAAATGTAGTTGCACACTATTTTCGCCGCTTTTGCAAGTCATACGCTAACAGATAATAAAATTATTTGTTCATAGAAATTTGTTAATTTTTTAAAGAATTTTTATAATTATTATACAGATTTTTGTAAGTATAAATAATTATTTTTCTATTTAAATTTCTTAAAACCCATTTTTTATGTAGTGATGATTAACAAACACAATGAAATAAATTTATATTATTTAAAATTATTTTATATTTTGGTGAATATTTTCAGGTACTATTGGTTAAAAGTGAAATCTCAAAATGTTTTTAACACGTTCTGAATATGATAGAGGCGTGAATACATTTTCTCCTGAAGGCAGACTTTTTCAGGTAAAAATTAAAAATTAGTATTTTTTATTATAATGAAGTTAAATTAAATTATATTTAAGGTTGAATATGCAATTGAAGCCATCAAACTTGGCTCAACTGCTATTGGTATTTGCACTTCTGAAGGCGTAGTTTTAGGAGTTGAAAAACGTATAACATCGCCATTAATGATTACTAGTAAGATTGAAAAAATTTTTGAAGTTGACAAACATATAGGTATATATATTTTATTCATTTTTTTAAATTTTGACTTGAATAATTTTATTTTTTAAATGGTTTTTAGGATGCGCTGTAAGTGGCTTAATTGCTGATTCACGTACAATGGTTGAAAGAGCTCGTGCAGAATCACAAAACCATTGGTTTACTTACGATGAAAAAATGAGTGTAGAATCAGTTGCTCAAGCTGTCTCAAATTTAGCAATTCAGTTTAGTGGTGATTATGATAGCAAAGAACCAGCTATGGTCAGTTTAAAATTATAGAAATATTTTTAAATTTATGTTAATAAAAATTATTTTTAGAGTCGACCTTTTGGTGTTGCTATCATGTTTGCTGGTATTGACAAGAATGGGCCACAATTATTTCATTTAGATCCATCGGGTACTTACGTGCAATATAATGCTAAAGCAATTGGTTCTGGTAGTGAAGGTGCCCAACAAACTTTACAAGAAAAATATCATAAAGTAATGTATTATAATATTTGACTAAAAGTAATGGAAATAAGTTATAGAAATCTTATCAAAAATTTACAACATTCTTCATTTAAAGTTGACTATAAGTAATTAGGACTAAAGTTAAAAGACTAAGGTTAATAATTAGTTATAAGGAAATTAAAAATAATTTGCTGTTCACAGAAATGGTAGAGGAATTGCCTATTGCTGGCTTAATATTTATTAATTTATATTAATTCTTTGTAGTTGCAAAATAGTTTAAAAATTGAATAGTAAAAGTAAATATCACATCTTTTTGTTATAATGTTATTTCTTAAAATTAAAAAATTTAGGTTCATACCTAAACATTAACTATGTATCATAGTTGAAATCAATTTTTATCCAGACCTAGACTTATCTTAAAATGATTAAGAGGGTAATTTAGATCATCACGCCCTTCAGTTTTTTTTTCAATTCAAATAATTTTAAGTATTTTAATAATGGAATAACCAGTGATCAGAACTTATATTATTTATAAAGTTTATTTTAGGCAATCCTAGTAATTTTTTAATTTTTAATATTCAGAAATATCTCGTTATCTGCTTATGGTTAACGTCCATCAAATGATTATAAATAATATTTTTTAATCTAGCTCTATTATTTTATTATATTAATAATATTTATATTATATTATTTTAGTCAATGGGATTAAACGAAGCTATTAACTTAATAATGAACATACTCAAACAAGTTATGGAAGATAAACTAAGTCCAACTAATATAGAAATTGTCACTGTAACGCCTGATAAATTATATCATATGATGGATAAAGAAGAATTACAAGAGGTATATAGCTTTCTTTTTGACTTTTTACTAATTTCAGGACTACTAGTTAACCTCAACACTATAGAACTTTTTAGTTATACACTATAAATAGTGTATAATATATAGAAATTGGTGGATTATTCCAAAAGCAACATTAACTCCTATTTCCTTCATTATTCTTAATTTGTAGTTCTATGATTTATAAGTATAATATATGAATAAATATCTATTATGGTATGGGTCATATTTTCAATAATATATTAAATGAAAGGGAAATACGTAAGGTGTTTATATAAAAAAAAATTATTTAGATACATTCATTTTTCAAAAAGTTATGGGATTTTTAAGCACCGAAATAACATTACAATAAAAATTGTTTACATATAAATTACATTTTTTTTTTTTCAATATCAACTATCATTTGCAAATAGAAGATAAGTCGTTGTAACAAATTTTTTAGCAACATGTGCTTTAATTTAATATTTATTTAAAAGACTCAGTATTTCCGGAACATTTTCTAAAGCTAAGTTGAAAAAATTCTACTTTTTAGAAACAAAAATTTGTGTTGATCCATACACTTTTCAATACGTTATAGCAAATTAAAGTTGAAAATATAAATCAAACATCTTAAAACAAAAGTATCATTTTTTTAACTACTAATATTATATTACTTAGGGTTTCAATTTTAAAAAAAAATTATTTTGATTTGTTCATTTTTCAATAAGTTTTATTATTTATTATTTAATTCAATAATTTTTTGAAAAAAAGTAAAAAAAATGTTGAAATTTACCGATTTTAAAAATCATAATTTTTGGGGGGGATTTCCACTATTTACAAAAATTTTCATTTTTCGAGGGTAATGTCTTCAACTAATTACGATTTGTGATCTTTTGACATATTGTTGAGAAAAATAGGCCCAGTGAGAAATGAGAAAAAGTAGTGACAGACACAAAATAAAAAAAAATTAACACATCATGGTAAAATTAATACCTTTTCAGTTTCATATCGAAGCTGAAATGTATAGTAATTTTGCTTTTGGTAAGGTATAAGAGGTTTGTTAAAATTTATTAAATACAAAGTCATTTATTTACTTTATTATTAAATAGAATGAGTGATAGCCCTGTGATTTTAAATTATTTATTTAGTTTAACAACCTATTTCAAAATCTATTGCTTGTGTCATAAAAGACAGAAAAACCTATTCCAGTACTAAAGAATCGTATCTTGGTACCTACATACTGAGGCACAATTTCAAAACTGAACTAAGTAGACCGCTTAATTAATCAAAAATTAAGTAAATTGTCAATTGTTTTAGGTTTTCGATAAACTTGTGCCTTTTCCTGATGAAACAAAGGCTGGAAGTTCATCTTCAATATCTGCATCTGTTGCTTAATTAATGATTGTATATTTATTTTAAGTTGATTAAAAAATTAATAATAATATTGGTGGTAATTTTCACTTTTGAAATAAATTTTTGTTTAATAATTTTATACTTATGTTTTTACTTATTAGAAAGCCAAACTATAAAGATAATAGCAAAAGCATTTTGATTATACTTGGCATTAAATACATTGATGAACAATCACTGATCCATTAAGTTTTATCTGCATTAATTGGCTTATTTTCCTTGCTCAAAAAAAATTATATTTATGAACTAATGGACACATAAATTTGACTTGTTTTGTAATGTATATAACCCAATTATTTGTCCAAAATATTTTATACACATTTATTGTTTTTTTTTACATGATTTTATAAAAAAAATTTAAAAAACATTGTAAACCCATCACAATTTAACCCCTTTTTTCCAAGTATCCAAGTTTTAAAATCACATTCTATGTTATATTTTATTTTTAAAAAAACAATGATTTTAATCTAAAGGTTGGTAAATACAAGACAAAAATTAATTTGTAGATTCTTGAGAATTATAAATATAGTAAATTTCCTTTTTTTTGTTAACTAGAAAAACTAATAATCACAAATTGTAGAACCAATATATTTTTATTATTACATAAATAGATATTAGTTTTTTATATAAAATTAACAATATAACAATAATGAAAACCTATAATATATAATAATACTTTGTTCTTAATATTACTTAATACGAGAAATATAACAGTTATAATGGACGGAACTCTTAAAGTAAAAATAATATCAATGGTCTGGAAGACAAATACGGTTTTCATTTAGTAAATAAGTTATCTTTCAATAACTCAGTTATAGCAATTAATATCACCTAAATAATTTAAAATAAAGTTGAATATTAAAAACTAAAAACCCGAATCTACTAAATTACTACTGATATGTAGTTAATCCTTCTTGGAAGTATAACTCAAATTTTATAAATAGAGTTAAATTACCTAAATTATTTTCTCTTATTATATCTATAAAAATTAAATATAAAATAAAATTGCACATGTATAAGTACTAGCTATTGATAAACCCTTATGTAAAAATCTATTTCTTTAAACATAAATTATTTGTATAATGTCTTAATATTATCTATTTACACACTTTAAAATATAATTAGTTTTTTCACAAAATTTGAGATTTCACTTATTTTATTATTAACAAATGAGTTCATTAATTTGTTCTATAATAAACATCTAAAATTATTTTATTTCAATTTTATTACTGCGTTTTTGAAAAATAAACTGTAAAAAAAAACATTCTAATTCCTTAAAGCTGAAAATTATGAATACTGGAAGAAGCAAATTCTGGTCTATACATAGCACCTTTATTAGAACGATTAGTTCTGTTAGAAAATTCTGAAAACCGATCCTGATCCATTATTGGTTGTGGCATTAACATAACAGGTTGCAAATTTAAGGATTTTCTTGATCCTGTTATTGATGCATTACTATCAGTAAGGTAACCACCATTTAATTCTCCTAAAACATAAAAAATTTGAATTTCTTTAGGTAATATGAACATAGTTAGAAATGTTGATTAACACATTATTTTACTTTATTTCTATAATTATGTTTTTAGAGATGTACAAAACTCAGATTATACTAATTATTAACTTTAAATTAAAAATTTAAAGGATTTATTTTATATAAATTTAATTTATTTATTATAATAACTAGATCTTAAATTCATAATAATATTATAAAAAACTTAGATATTTATCTTAAAATTCTTTGTTAAACTTTCATTTTCAAATTTGGTACTGTTGCTTGGCATCATTATTTAGATTATAATCAACTAAGAATTGAGAGTACAAAATTGATTTATTCAACATATTTATAAAATAAGGAAAAAGTTTCTATAGTTTATTCCATTTTCCTTACTCATTGAATACTCTAAATACAATAGTAGAAGGGGAGAGTAGTCATAATCCCTGCCTCAAAATAGATGTAATACAATAATTTATTTGCTAGTTTAAATACTTCAATACTTTTTTAGGAATTTTTTTTTTCTAAATTAAGAGTTATTAAAATCTTTTCTCATTGTCAAATTAAGTAAAGAAAAATGTTGGATCCACATCTATCTCTATACAGAAAATTGATTTCCAGTAGCATGTAACAAACCTTTATAACATGCTATTAATCTCACAACTTTAATTTCTTGCTTTAATAACCTGATCTATGTTTTTAATGGATACAGTGATTCTCCAATTCTACAATCTCTAATACTTCTCTGGTTTAAATCCATGACACTAGAAATCAAACCAATCATTACTCTTTGTTCTATATTCCAGAAAACTCTACTTATAGAAATAATCATAATATAACTAGTTAATTTATATTGAAAACAATTTTAACCAACTATAAATAAAAACTATAATGAGGTTTTTTAATTACAGCTTTTTCTCTATTAGTTATTTTCTTATTTGATTTATATTAATTTTAACTGTATGTCAATTCAGTAGTGCTCTGGAAGAACTGTCTTAGTCAAAATTTGTAAAAATGAGTTTATGTAATAAAAAAAAAAAAAAGATACAACTAGTGATAAACAATATAATTGATACAATGACTATAGTATATTATTATAGCCGTTATATGAGTCAGATAATTCAAAATCATAATCCATTTAATTATTTTATTTTTTTTAAAAAGTATATATATTGGTACATATTTGAATGATGATTGGGTCAAAATTTTAATAGATTATATTAATTTAATATATTCAGTATGAAAAGTAAGATACCTTTACGTAATGTTGACGCATATAATGGCTCTGATTGAAGTTTAATATGTCTTGTAGCTAAAATAAAAGCCAATGCTGATAAAATAATTGCATCTAAACCAGCAATTGCTGCTAATAGATAAGCCCAACGGAAACTGCAATACCCAAGATTATAACTTTTGGCTTCAGGACCACAAGTTTTTTGTATATGTGGTGAATCCCAACTCATAGGAAAAACAACGATTGATGTTATTAAACAAAATGCTGATATTAAAAAAAAATAAAATATAATTTAATATAAGACAAAAATAGCAATAATAAATTTTACACATATTTTTTACCTGATATAAGATGCAACCAACCACACATTAAATACACAGTAGTCGATTGACAGAAAAAAAATAATAATAATAACAGTACTACCAGAACTGCTACTATAACAGATACTCCACCAAAAATAGCAGCTATTTTTATGTGACCACCAGGTATACTAGAAAAATCATCTAATCTCCCATGACATTCTTCAGAAACTGATGAAACCCCATTTCCAAAGTAACAACTATTCCATAAGCCAAATCGGGCAGGATTTTCAGATGTAGTTGTATCACCAATCCATTCTGGAGTAATAAAAGCTACACCCACAATTATAGCATAACAAACTGTGAATATGCCCCAAAGCACTCCAACAGCTTTAGCATTTCGAACATAATTGGTAGCATAAAGCTGGGAAGAATCTACATACTCTATTTTAGAACCCATAGTGTGTTAAGTATATGTTTTTCTGATAAACTTTAATAAATTATTCACAATATTTCCATATTTTTTAGTAAAACACTACAGATTAGTTTAATTAACTGATAAAACTGAACATCGCTGTCTATAGTACCATAAGATTTGTATAATATAATGAAATAAATATTTTTTAAGAAAACACAAAATATAAATTTGAAGATAAAATGAAGAAAAATTTATTTCTACGTATCAACTGTTAATGTAATTTACATGGAAAATATTCAACAAGTTGCTTAGAGGGGTATGACTACACAATATAGATAAAGAAAATGATAACAAAATCTCATGGAAAAATGTAGTAAATAATATTCTCGGGTACAGCCTTGGATTATATATCCTAGGCTGTACTTAATAATGGGCATTATTTTTAATTATTTAATATTAATTGGACTGGTATTATCCACGAACGATTAGTTTTAGATTATTGAAGTACCGAATAAAATATTCGATAATTTTCATTAGATTTAAAACTACCCATGAATTTTCAGGCAGTTTTCATTCGAATATAAACTAGCGCATATTTTATTTAATAATTCATTAGTCAAAAGTATTCAGCCATACAAATTTTTATCTAAATAATATTGTTGGATACACATCAATATGCTGTCACGAAATTGTGTTGTGATTATTTATGCTATTGTTGTGCTATATCGAGTTGTTGTCGGTCTTTTCTCTATATCTGGGTTGTCGCCACCATCTTAGCATTTTTCAGCTATAAGCTCTATGACGCTTGCAAGCTAGTAGTTTTGTATTTGTTTTGTTGTAAAAGTAAAATAACACATTGCGATTGTCGCACCCTGTGCGCTCAGTTTATCGCCGTTGGGTCTATATATTTACTGAGATACATCACAGTACCTTTCATAGCATATTATACACTATGGTCAGCTACATGCATTCGACTTTAATTGATCCTTTCAATATTCAACATTATCATCAGCCGTTTCAATTAGCTGATAAGTATAATGCTTGTTCATTTATTTTTCTAAGACTTACTTGTATAATTTATTATTTGTTTATATTCTTATTTTGTTGATCAAAAGATCAGCTTGAACACCAGCTCCTCGAACAAGAAGTACGTCCCCGTCTACGGGGAGTCTGAAGGTCCATAGCATTCATATCCTTAATAACTACGGTTAACTTTAAGTCCTCGGGGGGGGGGGGGGCCACATTCAATCTCAGTTCTTTAACCGTGAGTTCTCACTGCAGTGAATCTAGAGTTCGAGACTGATTTCGACCCCGTCTTCCACGTCTGTCGCCTGACCACATCTGACCATATTTTTCGTGGAGGTTTTCAGACGGTAATTTTGCTAGGTCCAAAATATTCAAGGCTTTCATCATTCTTTCCGTTGAAACCGAATCACTAGTCGGGGCGAGCTCCCTTCCTGTGCATAACCTTTTCTTCTTCTTCTTTAATGGCGATGGGAGTTCAACAAATGGAGCACCTACGCTCACTGTCACCGATTCATTTGCAATCATTCCTGTGCCGTCACTACCTACTACTTATTGGAATTCTGTTTGTGTCAAAGATTCGAGTCTATTGTGGACACGAGCCTCTCCGCTTATTGGGAAACGAAGGCAAGACGAGACGTGAGTATGATCTTTGAGCACGCTTGGTATAGCATCGAATACAGTTTACTGCCCTCATAAAACGTATCCGTAATTTTCCCGCATTTCCTCTTTAATGTTTTCGAAACACTAGCAGGAGTGTTGTCCAGGTCGGTCGTAACGATCGGATCCACTGTTGAAGATATCTCTATGCGCTTGCCTTACAGGCTTCATCTTCGTCCATTCCGACTCAACTCGGTGGTTTGAGCGTGTTTTCCGAACTGTTGGAGAACTGCACTGCGATGTCGTCCCACAAGTTACAGGGCAGTTTAGGCAAAGACACTACTTCCTTACTATACGTTTGGCTGAGCTCCATCCTCTTCGCCATACTAATATGCCTCGATCTCGTCTCTAAGTCTCATACCCGGAACTTCCAGTAGGTTACTCCTGTGCTGAGACAGGAGATCACTAATGGCGAGTCTCGGTACTTTCGCGACCCAATTTTCGCTACCCCCCTTCAGTGCAAAAATCCATCGAGCACATAAGGTTCGTTTTTTCTTCCTCACTCCCTATAGTCTCAAAGTGGTTGCAACCTTTCGCTCTTTCAAAACCAAACTCGCCTCCATCGATGAGGTCCTACAACATCATCTTGATGATTGTGGTCTCTAAACTTCAGAAGTCTCCGTGAGATCGAAAATCTCCATACCACACCACACCAATCCAATGATAGAAGTAATGAAGTTCCTGGATAACGACCAGTTGGGGCCTTCAATGGAATCCTTCTAAGAGCATCTGAAACTCTTACAATCGTAAGAGTTTCTCTTCTTCGATTTCCATACCTAGTTTTACGGATATCCTTCTCTACGTTTTACCTGCCACCAGGAAATATGTTTTCGGTGTTACATTTACCTAGATGGTCTCCTTACTAGGCTAGATAACTACTACTTATTTGATTACTCTAACAAAATGACTTATATCACAGTTGTGATAGGTACAGGGCTTTTGAGCATTTGAAGGGTTAGCTGTCCGCAATCTCAAGACACGTCCAAGTCTTCAAGCAAAAGACCTACACTTATTTCGAATCAGAAAGGGCATACTACAACCAACGTCATCCAAATCTATAAGCGATCTAGACGACCACACAGAATTCTGATCATGTTTAATGATCAATGATTAACATTGTAATATCATAATGTATAGATACTATGATAGCAATACACTTTTGTTATGACTTCTTTGTGAAACATTTTGTCGAGACAAAGAAGCACATGTACACTAAAATACTCGTAGTTTGTCTCAGCTTATGCATTCATTCGAATATCGTGGGTCTTTTGACTCAATCGTAAAAACCCACCACCAAACCCAGCGCCTTCAAAGTGAGGTGACACAACCACATCTAGTTCACTCTCGCAGTATCTAACCAGTGTACTATTTAGTCCTGTACTATCAGTGGGGATGTCAATTTTTTTTCCAACATCGACATATTGATTTTTTATTTTCAAACCTTCGATGCTAACAATATAACAAATTAGAAAAAAAATCAATATAAATGTAAGAACATCGATGTGGTAGGAAAAGCATCGATTACTGTACTATATTAATAGAAAAATTAAAATTAATAATACATAACAAATAAAACTAGTTTGGAGAATTTAAATTTCTAAAAAATTAATTTATAAATTAAAAAAAAGTCCCTTCTCCCCAGAAGTAGCTTTTCTAACATATTGATGGCGCGATTTAAGTTGTAATATAAATTACATGTAATTAAAAAAAATAAAAAAAACCCAGCACAGGGGGGTCGCGGCACAGTGGTGACATGGCATAGTAAGATTAAGTATAATGATATCTGACAATGATTAAAATCACTATAAAAAAAAAAAACGCTTTGATGCAAATCTTTAGATATTGTTTAATTTTAAAAAAATGGTAGATTATTCCAAAAGCTATATGATCATAATATCCTGATTAAAATAAAGTATGTCGAATGAAAAAGGGAATATTAAAAAATATTATTTCTCATAAAAAAATTGTGTTGATCCATACATTTTTCAAAAAGTTATAGCATTATAAAGCTAAAAATATAAAATAGAATTTTTTTCCAAAAATCGTATTTTTTTATTAACTTTGATGAATTTTTTCACCGTGAAAATGAAATAAAGTCCGAATTTTTTTTTCCATGATAAAGTATATTACATAAGCTTTAATTTAAGATATATATATAAGTGTCAGACTTTCCGGAACATTTTCAAATGTCAAGTTGAAAAAGTTAATTTTTTGTAAAAAAGTTATCATTTTAAATCCCCTTCTGTGGGCAGGTAAAGGGTCCGATTTATAAAAAAAAAACGCCGTGTCAAAATATACCAAATAGAAGGTAATGATATCATGCATCTATATAAAAAAAAATTATATTTATTTGGTTATTTTTGAAAAAGTTATGGCAGTTTTAAGAAAAAAAATTTTAAAAATTAACGATTTTTAAATTTGTAATTTTTTTGGAGATTTCCCCCATTTACAGGGAATGAGGGAATTTTTTTCTATTTTTGAGGGTAATGTCTTCGACTAGATACGATTTGTGATCTTTTGACATATCGTTGAAAGAAATCCGTTCGGTGAGAGCTGAGAAAAAGTGGTAACAGACACAAAAAAAAACACATCATAGTAAAACCAATCTGGTATATCTGGTACGCCCAGTATTTGTGTCTTGCACTTCGTCTGCACCTTATACTCGGCTACCCCGTTCTCTCTTTAGAGTACTTGTGTTTTGCACTTCGTCTGCACCTCATACCTAGGTGTTACTCTTATTCTCCCTTCCTATAACAACAGCCTTTCGACACCCACAGCTAACCCGGAGTGTCAGCCGAGCACAGTGACTGCTGTACGACAACACGCACGTGAATACCTAGACAGCAGGCACCACCTCCTCATATTCATCTTCGTACACATAGTTGCACATTTACCTTTTATCATTTTCTTTACTGTGTTACGACAACTTCATATCCAAAATATCCAGAAAAATTGCATTGCATGAGCCAACCAATATACCGATATCCCTCAGTAATTTCTCTAATAATAAATCGACAATTCTCATAACAATTTTCTTCACTGCTTCAATATGTTCACTGGTTGTTAACATGCTCAGTCGTCCAGAGTAAGCGTCGTCATTCACCTCTTCTTGGCCTATAAAAAGCTTGTACCACTTGTAAGCATTTTTTTGATTTAGAGTACACTTACCATTTATCACTTTCAATATTTCATTTGTTTTAGAACATTTAATTCCATTTTTTTACACAAAATTTGATGTATATTCTTTAAATCATTTTTTTTGTCAGCAGAAAATTGCTAACTCACAAAAAATACGTATAACCTTTAACCTCTCATAAACAAACAAAAAATGCTACATTGCTGAACCTGTCAACAATGTTTAACAATGGGTGGTCCTTATTTTACGAATTTCTAAATTTCTTTTGGGACACCCCTCCATTTTTTTCTTTAGTAAAAAAAATAATATACTGAAAATTTAAGATCATTTGGAAAAATTTAAATCGAGACGCACAGCATTTTAAGGTTTTGATCTCGACTTTTTGAAGAATATTATATAAAACGATAATAAAAACCTATATTAGAAGTTTTCGAGTGATTTTT